ATTATACAATCTATTAAAAACTTACGTGGGGGGCTTTGTTGTAACAAAACCTCCTCTTCCTCCCCATATACGGGTCTTCTAAATTCGATATTGTTCAGCATTTTTGTTGTATCTTTTTCTCTTTCTCTCGTCGACGTGGACATTGACTATTTGCTGGTGACTCCTGGGTGACTTTTATATGGTCCATCGCTATCTCTTTGTAACAAATATGTCTCGTTAGGAGAGGGTGGCAAATGTGCAAAATCAGCACAGCCTAACGTAATAGTAACATCATATGTTGCACATGCAGTCAACCGCATCCTCACAGTGATGTATCAGCACATTAGGGAGCGGTGCACTTGGACACGGTGCATTTGGACACAGCCAATCACAGCACCGTGTGATTAGAGACATTTGTAGGGTCCCTTGGAATAGCGACTTGTGATTGGACTGTTTCCAATTGCCCCGTGTCCAACTGATATACACCCGCACATTACCGTTTCTTTACCGTTTCATTACCGTTTCTTACCGTTTCATTACCGTTTCTTTACCGTTTCTTTACCGTTTCTTTACCGTTTTTTACCGTTTTTTACTATTTTTACCGTTTACGTTACCGTTTCTTTACCGTTTCTTTACCGTTTTTTTACTGTTTCACTCTCGTTTCATTACCGTTTCTTACCGTTTCATTACCGTTTCTTTACCGTTTCTTTGCTGTTTCACTCCCGTTATTTACCGTTTGTTTACCGTTTTTTACCGTTTTATGTCGCACATGCAGTCAACCGCATCCTTACATTGATGTATCAGCACATTACCGTTTCATTACCGTTTCTTACCGTTTCATTACCGTTTCTTTACCGTTTCTTTGCTGTTTCACTCCCGTTATTTACCGTTTCTTTACTGTTTCACTCCCGTTTCATTACCGTTTCTTACCGTTTCATTACCGTTTCTTTACCGTTTCTTTACCGTTTTTACCGTTTTTTACCGTTCTTTATCGTTTTTTACCGTTTTTACCGTTTACGTTACCGTTTCATTACCGTTTCGTTACCGTTTCTTTAATGTTTCACTCCCGTTATTTACCGTTTCTTTACTGTTTCACTCCCGTTTCATTACCGTTTCTTACCGTTTTATTACCGTTTCTTTACCGTTTCTTTACCGTTTCTTTGCTGTTTCACTCCCGTTATTTACCGTTTCTTTACTGTTTCACTCCCGTTTCATTACCGTTTCTTACCGTTTCATTATCGTTTCTTTACCATTTCTTTACCGTTTCTTTGCTGTTTCACTCCCGTTTCATTACCGTTTCTTACCGTTTTATTACCGTTTCTTTACCGTTTCTTTACCGTTTCTTTGCTGTTTCACTCCCGTTATTTACCGTTTCTTTACGTGACCTTTGATATGTATAATAAATTTTATTATAATATTTTACGTTTTATTATAATGTTACATTTATCGATTATATTAGTAAATTTTATGTGAAATTATTGCAATAAATATTGTGTGCTCTCTTACTATTATCGGTCGACTGTTTCTCATTTTTATCCTCCCTCTCATCATCAGCCTCGTAGACATCTGATCCCAACCATCATTCACCCTTGACATAGTCGTATGTCCAAAATGATATCACCCATCTTTGGTCGCCAGTTCAAAACATTTTCATCTAATTTTGGTGGGTTCAAACTGTTTCGATAATACATACAGAGTTCGCGTTTATCGTGTCGCTCTATCTTTAAAATTGACATATCATCATTGCACGAATTATCGTAGAAAT